ATATCGTATGTGCAAAACCCGAGGTTGAACTGGACTTATAAGTATAATTGCACACTCCATTCTGTTTTATTTTTATTTACTTATTTATTTTCAAAGCCGGATAACGTACACAATTGTTGACAATTTTTGTTTCTGAACTTCTTTTAAAAGGGGGCTACACCCACTTTGTATACGACTCTATTTGTTGTTAGTTCGCATACTTTGGAAGTTTTTTCGTTTGTCTTTGTTTTATCTGCGATCATCCTGTTGGGGAATTAGATCTAGGAATTATAATGTTCAATTCCTGTTTTGGTTGGGGAGGGTTGGCTGGCAGCATTATTTACCTTTGGTTTCTAGGTCTGGTATCTTATTTTTGTTATTTACAATTTGTTTCAGTTTTGAACCCCTGCATGCTTTTAATTTCTGTACCACTCAGATAAAATAGGTGCTGATTATGGAGGTCATCCTGTGAGGCTGATGACATGGAATGTCAGGGGATTAAATGGTCCTGTTAAAAGAGCTAAAGTTTTCTCCCATCTTAAATCTTTCAAACCAGATATATTGTTTTTACAAGAAACACATTTAAGACTGGAAGATCACAATAGAATTCGTAAGATATGGGTTAGTCAAATTTTTCATTCCAAATTTAACAGTAGATCAAGAGGTGTGGCAATTTTAATTAAGAGTACAATTTATACCTTCTGACACAATCTGTGACCCTAATGGTCGTTACATTGTCTCTGGATCTCTCTTTCAAATCCCGGTGATTTTTAGTAAACGTTTTCGCTCCCAATTGGGATGATGTTCAGTTTGCAAATAGTCTCCTATCATTAATTCCCAAGCTTAATACACATCATTTGTTATTCGCTGGTGATTTGAATTGTGTTTTTGATCCTCAGCTTGACAGGTCCAGCACTAGTAGTAATGTTTCTGATATGGCGAAGGCTTTTTCTCTATTTATGCAACAGAACGGCTGTGTGGATCCTTGGAGATTCTTAAACCCATTGACTAGACAATTCTCCTTTTATTCCCATGTCATCACTCCTTTTCCAGACTAGAAGATTTTTTTATAGATAACTTGTTTATATCAATGGTCAAGAAAGTTGATTACTCTGCAATAGTTATATCCGATCATGCACCTGTGGTGCTGGACCTGCACTTCCCTTTAAACATCAGGGAACGACCACTCTGGACATTTAATCCATTACTACTATCTAACGATAAATTCTGTAACGGTCTCAACTAGTATAGACGAGTTTCTGGAATCTAATAAAATAGATAGTGTCTTACTCATTACTCTGGGAGACTTTGAAAGCTTACTCGAGGGGTCAAATATTATCTTATACATGTGCTAATAAAGAACGTAAGAAGGAACTGCAAGCACTCTCACAATCCATATTAGATTTAGACAGACAATATTCTGAATCTCCTACAGCCGAATTACATAAAAAAAGAGTGGACTTGCAGACAAAGTTAAATTTGTTATCCACTACTCATGCAGAACAATTAATAATGAGGACACGTGGTCTTTACTATGAGTATGGAGACAAATCAAGTCGGCTCTTGGCTCACCAGTTAAAACATCAAGCCGCCTCCCGTCTTATTTCCCAGATAAAGGACTCTAATCAAACATTAACCTGTAACCTAAAAGAAATTAACAAGATTTTTAAAACCTTTTACTCCTCATTATATACTTTCGAATTCCCTTCAGATCCAACGGATATGGAAAATTTCTTAGATAATTTAGATATTCCTACTTTACAATCAGATAAGGTGGTAGATTTAGAACATGACCTCGAGATTGAAGAAATTTGTAGGGCCATTATGGCAATGAAGAGTGGGAAGTCTCCGGGCCTTGATGGGTATCCTATTGATTTTTATAAGAAATTTAAGGAGAAACTTGCGCCAATTCTTCATGTTTTTGGGGAATCGTTGGAGGCAGGCTCCCCGCCTCCAACTTTTTCACAAACATCCATTTCACCCCTTCTTAAAAAAGATAAAGAACCTACCCAGTGTGAATCATATCTCTTTTAAATACTGACATTAAAATATTAGCTAAAGTGTTAGCATTTCGTTTAGAATGTGTCCTTCCCTCAATTTCAGACGATCAAACGGGATTTATTAAAGGTTGCCAATCTTTTTCTAATATTCGTAGACTTGCTAACATAATGTATCTTTCTGATCCTTCTCCGCACCCGGAGGTAGTTATCTCATTGGATGCGGAGGAGGCGTTTGATCGAATTGAATGGCCCTATTTGTTTGCCGTTTTTAAAAAAAAGTTCGATTTTGGTAATATTTTTGTGTCTTGGGTTAAATTAATATATAATTCCCCTTCAGCTTCCATTCAGACTAATTATTCTCGTTCAGACTTTTTCCCATTAACACGTGGGACTCGTCAGGGATGCCCACTGTCCCCACTCCTTTTTGCCATTGTGATTGAGCCTCTTTCAATAGCTTTGAAAACAACAACAGCGTTGATCAATTAAGCGAGGGGGTATTGAACATCGTGTGTCTTTACACGCTGATGACCTTTTGCTTTACATCAGTGACCCTATATCTAGTTGTCCTTTAATTATATCCTTATTAGGTCGGTTTGGTACCTTTTCGGGATACAAATTAAATTTCCAAAAAAGTGAATGTTTCCCCATTAATAATTTGGCCTTACAAATTCAACAATCATTACCCTTTTGTTTTTCTGTGGATGGGTTTAAATATCTTGGAATTCATATGACTTGCTCCTTTTCTTCTTTGTTTGAAGCCAATTATAAAGCTCAGTTAAAAGTAAAGGCAGAGTTGGAAAGATGGCATAGTCTTCCCCTTACTTTAGCCGGAAGAATACATTCTTACTCTCAATTTTAATAATAAAGGATTGATTTCACTTTTATACTCCCAGCTCATGTCTTTGGAAGGGTACAATCTGGATAAAATTAAATCCAGATGGGAAGATGAACTGGGCATAGAGCTGTCTGAGGCTTTTTGGAGGGAGGCGCTTAAAAAGGTCCACTCATCATCATCTTCTGTTAGGTTAGGGCTCATACAATTCAAAGTGCTGCATAGGGTTCACTTGAGCAAGGCATGGTTAGCAGGAATATATCCTGGGTTAGATGCAGCCTGTGATAGATGCTCTTTTTCCCCAGCCAGTTTGACGCATACATTTTGGTCTTGCTCCTCTCTAAATAATTACTGGGCATTGGTTTTTAAAACTATCAGTGATGCCCTTGGGGTGACATTGTGGCCTTGTCCTTCAATAGGTATTTTTGGAACTCCCAGTGACACTGTAATTACTTTATCTGCAACCCAGAGGGACATTATTGCTTACACTTCTTTATTGGCCCGCAGAAGAATTTTGTTGAGTTGGAAATCCCCTACCCCTCCTTCTGTGACAGATTGGCTGGAAGATGTGATGTTCTTTTTAAAATTAGAAAAGATCAAATTTACACTACGGGGGTCTGTGGACAGGTTTTACTCAAAATGGGAACCCATTTTGACATTTTAAAAACCTGAAAAAATTACCCAGCTGTTGACTTTTACTCTTTATATGCATCTTTTTCTTTATTCTTTTTGTGATGTATTTGTTTTGACCTCGGTGTAATTTGTCTCACAGAATGGCTAAAAAAAAAGTTCTTATATATTCATACTGTAATAATACTATTATCATCACTATGTAGTGGTATGCAATGGGTCTATGCCTTGAAAAGATGTAATAAGATGGTTTCATTTTGCCAGACACTACGCTATTTTGTTGCAACTAAGCTGTCTAGGGAAGTGATGGGGGGGTTGTTATAGTAGAAGGAAGGGAAAATAAATAAATAAAAATAGAAAAGTGGTGTAGCCTAGCCTGTGTGTAAATGCAAACGTCATTCTCGATGTCTGCACGTGAGCTCATTAAGATTAATTTCCATAACTTTGTCATAACTTATAGAATTAAATTTCATAATACACTCACCTGATTAACTGTTTTTTCACGATCCGGGGCATGTTTTAGGGTGACAGCAATCATCTCTTCCACACTCTGGGATTTTTGGTGTGGGTATGACTTGCTGCAGGCACCTTGATCAAATACAGAGATCACCATTATTCAAATTAAAACTAGAAATTATAATGACAAAGTTCTATTCTAAAAACATCAAACATTAATCTTATTTCTGATATATATATATATATATATTGAGAAGAACTTACAACTTTTTACATTTAAAAGGAGGAACAACATTTACAACCTACCAAATCTTATTTACAATCCAAATAATTTGATCTTGAAACAGACAAATTAATAGTCATTAGTGGCAAGATTTGAAACTTACGTATGATGACATCATTGATAAGGAGCTGCTGAAATTTAAGTTTTCCCTTTCTCCCTTTTTAACTGTAATATCCCCATAAGGAAATCTCCAATTTTTTTTTCAGCATCCTTCTAATTCCCTAATCTCCCAAGCTGCCGCCACTCTGAAGACACAGATAACGAATCTACAAACAACAACACAAGAGCAAAATGTTTTTAATTATTATAGGTAAAAGGAGGAACAACATTTACAACCTACCAAATCTTATTTACAATCCAAATAATTTGAGATCTTGAAACAAACAAATTATTTGTCATTAGTGGCAAGTTTTTAAACTTACGTATGATGACATCATTGATAAGGAGCTGCTGAAATGGAAGTTTTCCCTTTCTCCCTTTGTAACTGTAATATCCCCATAAGGAATTATCTCCAATGTTTTTCAGCATCCTCCTAATTCCATCTCCCAAGCTGCATCCACTCTGAAGACACAGATAACGAATCTACAAACAACAACACAAGAGCAAAATGTTTTTAATTATTATAGGTTAAAAATAACTAATGTTGCTTGTGTTATGGCACAAACAATCTTTTGAAATTCAGCATCTTTCAGCTTATCACACAACTCCTCTAATTCCTCTACAGTCTTACATGGTTTCTCTAGCACCTCTGTGAGGTCAGAGACAGAGGTGCTTGGCTGGCTCATTGATTGCTGCATTGTTTCAACCACTGATGTAATGTTTTGGATTTGGTCCAGTTTCAACATGACTCTTCTTTCTAAATTCTCAAATAACTTGTAGATTTCTGTGCAGAATTTATTTTGAAACATAAATGACATTACAAACTACAGCAATAAGAAAATAACACTGCCATAAGACAACATCATAATTGAAAAATTGATGAAATAGATTGTTACCATCTCGAATAGATTGTGGATTAAATCACACTTCCTAAAACAAGTCACAAAAACACTTAGTCAGATAATGAATACATTACAGTGGGGCAAAAAAGTATTTAGTCAGCCACCAATTGTGCAAGTTCTCCCACATAAAAAGATGAGAGAGGCCTGTAATTTTCATCATAGGTATACCTCAACTATGAGAGACAAAATGAGGAAAAAAATCCAGAAAATCACATTGTAGGATTTTTAAAGAATTTATTTGCAAATTATGGTGGAAAATAAGTATTTGGTCAATAACAAAATTTCATTTCAATACTTTGTTATATATATATAATGGCATCTGTTTGAACTCGTTATCAGTATAAAAGACACCTGTCCACAACCTCAAACAGTCACACTCCAAACTCCACCATGGCCAAGACCAAAGAGCTGTCAAAGGATTTTTCTCATTTTGTCTCTCATAGTTGAGGTATACCTATGATGAAAATTACAGGCCTCTCTCATCTGTTTAAGTGGGAGAACTTGCACAATTGGTGGCTGACTAAATACTTTTTTTCCCCACTGTATATGTGTGTGTTTTAGTGTACCTTGACTCTGCCAGTTGGCAGAAACTGACTGATGTGGCTGCAGTTGTGGTGTTGAAAGAGATGGAACTGTAATCACATTACAAGGAAAAAAAAAATCATTAAATAAAAAAAATTCATGAACTATTGTTAGTCCAACAGTCACACTCTTGAGCTGTACAGTGTTAAGCTGTACAGCCATAAAAACAATATTGTTTGCATGTTGTTTAAATGACATAATACCATTTAAAAACAATAATATTTTATGTAACATTAAAACACCTCATTGAAACAGGGTTTTGCATTTGTTTTTAATGAATAATTGATTAATTGATGAAATTAAGTGGTTACCATCTTGTGGATCAATCACACTTCCTAAAACAAGTCACAAAAACGTTTTATCATGTAAATATCTGTATGATGTATATATACAGTGGGTACGGAAAGTATTCAGACCCCCTTAAATTTTTCACTATCATAACCAAAGAATTTCTGCACAAACTGTCAGAAACCGTCTCAGGGAAGCTCATCTGCATGCTCGTCGTCCTCATCGGGGTCTCGACCTGACTGCAGTTCTTCGTCGTAACCGACTTGAGTGGGCAAATGCTCACATTCGATGGCGTCTGGCACTTTGGAGAGGTGTTCTCTTCACGGATGAATCCCGGTTTTCACTGTACAGGGCAGATGGCAGACAGCGTGTATGGCGTCGTGAGCAGTTTGCTGATGTCAACGTTGTAGATCGAGTGGCCCATGGTGGTTATGGTATGGGCAGGCGTATGTTAGGATGTTATAGACAACGAACACAGTATTGATGGCATTTTGAATGCACAGAGATACCGTGACGAGATCCTGAGGCCCGTTGTTGTGCCATTCATCCACGACCATCACCTCATGTTGCAGCATGATAATGCACAGCCCCATGTTGCAAGGATCTGTACACAATTCCTGGAAGCTGAAAACATCCCAGTTCTTCCATGGCCAGCATACTCACCTGACAATGTCAGCCATCGAGCATGTTTGGGATGCTCTGGATCGGCGTATACGACAGCGTGTTCCAGTTCCTGCCAATATCCAGCAACTTCGCACAGCTATTGAAGAGGAGTGGACCAACATTCCACAGGCCACAATCAACAACCTGATCAACTCTATGCGAAGGAGATGTGTTGCACTGCGTGAGGCAAATGGTGGTTACACCAGATACTGACTGGTTTTCGGACCCCCAATACAGTAAATCTGCACATTTTAGAGTGGCCTTTTATTGTGGCCAGCCTTAGGCACACCTGTGCAATAATCATGCTGTCTAATCAGCATCTTGATATGCCACACCTGTGAGGTGGATGGATTATCTCGGCAAAGGAGAAGTACTCTCTAACAGATTTAGACAGATTTGTGAACAATATTTGAGAGAAATAGGCCTTTTGTGTACATAGAAGTTCAGCTCATGAAAATATATAATTATAATTGTATAATTATAATATACTCTGTATAATTGTATACTCTGACGGCATGTTTTGTCCAGAGATGTTTGTCAAAAAAAAATATATATATATATATATATATATATATATATATATCAGTACAATTTCAGACTATAGCAAACAAATGAAAGTGAATCATAGTGACTTTACCTTCCATCAGGCTCCCCAGCTGAAAACAAAACAAAATATTAGCAGGGGCTTTTTGACATTTCTTAAAAAAGTAGTTCACCCAAAAATGAAAGTGAATCATAGTGACTTTACCTTCATCAGGCTCCCCAACTCAAAACAAAACAAAATATTAGCAGGGACTTTTTGACATTTCTTAAAAGAGTAGTTCACCCAAAAATGAAAGTTCTTTCATTATCCTCACCCTCGAGTTGTTCCAACCCTGTATAAATATTTGTTCTGCTGAACACAAGGGAAGATATTTTGAAGAATGTCTGTAACCGTTTGTGTTCAGCAGAACAAATATATTTATACAGGGTTGGAACAACTCGAGGGTGAGGATGATGATCTTTTTGGGTGAACTATCCCTTTAATGTTATGGCCTTCATGAATCATTTTTGCACAACATACAAAGACGATTACATTTTAGATTATAATCAACAGTTGATTACTTTTTGTTAACTTACTACTTACACTTAGATGCAATTGCTGTTGATCTTGGCCGTTTGTTTATTTTCTTTACTCTCAAACTGAATCTCATCTTCAGGGCCAAACGCAGCAGGGCAATAAATAGTATTTTATGTCAGTAAGAAAAATATGCTAGATGGTACTTTTCTGAATAATTTATTCCCACTGTTTAACCTTGCATTAAATAAAGAATACAGTGACAATGATTTCACCTTGGGATGATTCACTGTAAAACAAAATTAGCATTTAAAGAAGATATAGATACAGACATAGACATATATATGCATTTTGGCTTTCCTTGATCATTACAAATTCATTTGTTTTGCATGTATACTTACATTGTTTTGTCTGTGGTGTCTTTCTAGGTTTGGTGGGCTGAAGTTCTTCTTCTGCAAGAAACAAAAGTTACAACTGCAATTGTCTTTTCAGTGTGAAAACTTTAACTTATTCACAGTGTCGGCACAGATTTTATACCTCTAAATCTTCTTGGTGGTATAATTTTTCATGAACTATTTCCATCCGAGTCCTCAACATGGGAAGTTTCAACTTATACCCGATACCTTGCTAGGTTGTAACTGTCTTGTTCTCAAAAATAGTACAAATTTAGTTTAATAAATCTTATATAAATTTATATTTTAGGAATGGTTGCTAGTAGTTGATGAGATTAAAAAATAATCTTGGTATTATACTTTACCTGTGTCAGAAAATCCAGAGATGTTTGTCTGGAATGGCACATTTTATGACTTTGGTCCCAACATTTGAATTGGGCCAATAACAGAACAGTACCTTTCAGACAGAGACAAGGATGCTTGCTTAATGTTTTCTACGTATATAGTTGACCTTGATTTAATGTATATCATTTATGTTTTATAAAAACATATATGGACTAAATCCTACCCCATCGACCCTTGCGAGCCACGAAGATGGTGCCACCTCAACCTCATTTTGCTCAATGAAATTGAGTATTACATAGCGAAGATAAACCTGTAAGTGCAGTTTAGATAAATCTGTAAGTTCAGCTTGCAATACACAAATGAAACGTACACAATTACCTATTAATAGGCAATCATTGGTTACTTTCTCTAACCTTATACTTAATTTATGTTTACCAATGTTGGTTCTTGTTGTACTGGAAACATCTAGGTTTTCAAAAAAGAATGGCACTGAAGAGCAAATCACTAGATTTGACAGAAGAAAGCTTTAGGAGGCAGAAACTGGTAATTTGGTAATTTTATTTTTTGTCACAACCTAGAAAGTATGAAGAATGGACACCACAATTTTGATCCTGTAGTTTTCCTCCACGATGAATGCCCTCCTCTGAAGGGACTTTCTTTCTAAGCAAAGCATTTGAGAACGTCTGATGTTAGCCACGAGACGAAATGCTGGTCATGTGACGATGACTATAATTAATTGTATAATGCAATATCGTTGACGAATAAAAACGAGACTAAATGTGGTTTACAAAATAAAAACTATGCTAAAATGTCTCTTCATTTTCGTTGACCGAAACGAAATGTTATAACGTTATTTCGTCTCGTTATTATTATTATTTTGCAGTATTTCTGTTTCCTGTGTCTCGCTTCAGGGGCTGCATCAGCGCTAGTGTTGGGTCGTTCTTGAACGATTCGCTCATTTTGAATGAATCTTTAATGTGACTCGGGAAGAACGATTCATCTCGGGGAGGGATTCGTTCAGTTGCGCATCCGCAACATCCTATAGGTTCTGTACTGGAATTAGTCAAGTAGTTCACCTGGTTCGAGTCTTCGAGTTTTTCGAGTCGTTCGTTCATCACATGACAGCCCCTTAAGCTTTAACCAGTGCAGTCTGAGCCGGAAAGAGACTTAATAATAACCAACTCTTTATTACCTTTGTCACAACATTCAGTGTTATGGAAAAGAACCATAATGACAGAAATTCACACATTTATAAACTGTAAGAAGTAAAAAGCTACAATTTGAGACCAGAAACAGATTACCTAACTGTAAGAGTAAATAATAATTATAATAATAATAATAATAACTATGCACCCGTTTGTAAGGAAGCTTGTAAATGAACTAATTTCTCTATTCAATGCTGTCACGTCACATGACAAAAGAACGAATTATTCGAAAGACTCGATAGATTAACGAATCAATTCTCTTTCCACTGCATTGGTTAAAGTGTATGGGGCTGTCACGTGATGAACGAACGACTCAAACCTGAAGACTTGTCAGATAAGAGGTGAGGTGAGCTAATCATAGACTGAAGGTAAACAATGAATTCATCTTTTCTGTTTCTTATAGCAGTTTTGTATTGTTTGTAGTAATAGTGTGATCAACGTTTGCGTAAGTAGTAGATGTGTTAGGGAAGTAACATGTAACATTTTAATTATATTTTGCTCAAATTAACGAAATGACTCCAAAAAAGATTCGTTAATTTTGCTGAACGAGACTCAAAGTTCTAAGTCGGTAAAATGATCCGAACTTCCCATCACTAAACTGCACAGACGCAGGCGATGTCACTTCCTCAAGTCTACTCGTGGCATTATTTAGACCAGTGTTTCCCAACTGTCTGTCCAGAGCAGGGGTGCAGTGTAAAAAATATTTTTTTAATATTTTTAAATAGCTAAAATGTTAAAAAAAAGCAGCTATTATATAATATCCATTTCTAATGTTGCCAATAATTAGAGATGCACAGAAATTCCGGCTGCCGAAAATGAGTTCACCGCTCAGGTTTCACTTTCACGTGGTGTGACGCTCTGCGTATTATCCGCTCTATGCGTGTGTGTGTTATCCATAGACTGTATGGTATTATCCCGCTCTATGTGTGTGTGTGTGTGTGTGTGTGTGTTATCCCCGCTCTATGCGTGTGTGTATTATCCCGCTCTATGCGTGTGTGCGCTGTGTGTGTGTGTGTTATCCGCTCTATGCGTGTGTGTATTATCCCGTTCTATGCGTGTGTGCGCTCCACTCAGTCGCTCACGGCCCATGTGAGCGCTCCACTCATATACCGTTCATGCTCATCGGAACAGCAAAGTCCACTCAAAAATCAAGCTGACAGGAAACATCT